ACAGTCATGTGACTTTTCTCCAGCAGCAGCCAGCCTGGAATCAGAGGGAGTGAGGAGCTGCTTGTGTAAACCCAGGGCTGGGGCTTCACAGCGCCGTCCACTAGACCTTCTGCAAGGAAGGAAATGCACCATCATCTGTACTGCCCAATGGGACGGCCCCGGTTACACTTTAATCCTGGCTGGTGCAACTGGGAAACTGAATTTTTAAAAAGAATTTAAATTTAAATAACCACAGGTGGTGCGTGGCTACCATACTGGACACGGCATACAATACAGATGGCAAGGGAAAGTGAGGTCAGTGTGCGCCAGGGAGCACCTCAGGTAGCTGGGACCAGCAAGGCTGGAGGCAGGAAAACGTAAGGCTTATCCAGGCAAAGGAACAGTCTGAAGTCATTAGAAACTTAATGATGCAAGGTGGGTAATTGGCCGCTTGCCTCAGAGTTGCTGGGTAATGAACGTCATGGGCATTTTTAGGGGTGCAAGTGATGCTGAGGTGTGAGCTCTGCAATGTGTGGCTGTTTTCTAACATGACAGCTCTTTTCTCCATTGACAGAGGTCACAGCGCCCTCCAAGTATCTTGTGCTCCTATGAAGAGGGAGCAGCTTTCTGAAATTTTTAACACCTTCCCAGATGTGCTGAAGAGATCTGTCCTAGAGATGTTGCAGGCGTGATATTTTCATGGTGTTTTAAGGTATCACCGGATCCGTCTTCCAACGTTTTAAAGAAATCCCTTAGGGTGGATAAGATGCCTGTTGACTAATTAAACTCAGTAACAAGCCATTTGCTCTTTCCTGGGGCTTACTAAGGTACAGATACCATAAAGGAGCCCCTAAAGGAATTGCATGTCTGGAGGAAAATATTCAGTCACGCTTGCATCATCCACTAAATTCTTCGCTCGTTTTATTGATGACAAATGCATTTTTGGAAACTTGGTAGTCTGCCTCCACGCCCATGAGGCTCCTTCTTATGAATTCTGGAGATCCATGGATGGGCAGCTGTGTTCCCCACACACGTGATAGAAAAGCAACCTGGGATGTGCTTCCCCAGGGTCCAGGCAGAGGTGCCCAGCCCAGACCTCCCAACTCTCAACTCAATCCTCTCTGTGACACTGTGCAATGTCATCTCTTAACACCTTAGGCCAAGAACAAAACAAAAATATCTGGAATTCTTCAAAGATCCATAAAATTTGCACCATCAGTATACATGCAGATGCAAGAAGAAAGGCAAACAGAATTGTCTTGTAAACAGCCACACAAAATAATTCTAAGTAGAGAGGAAAAACAAATGTTGGCCTACCTGCATTTGTGCCAGCAACAGAAAGGCTCACGATCTGGTACAAATTAGATCAAGTGGTAGACCATCCCTTTAAGAAAGTACTAGAAACCCAGCCACAGGGTCTGAACTGTGGTTTACACCATGCAAAAAGGCTCCTCTGCCTTCCAATGCCAACCGCCAGTCATTGTAAATCTCTAGCGGCCAGGAGACCAGGTGGCCTGTCATGTGTTTCTCAATAAAATTATCAGAATTCATAAAAACCTACCTTGGGCCGGGTGCGGTGGCTCAAGCCTGTAATCCCAGCACTTTGGGAGGCCAAGACGGGCGGATCACGAGGTCAGGAGATCGAGACCATACTGGCTAACACGGTGAAACCCTGTCTCTACTAAAAAAATACCAAAAATTAGCTGGGCGAGGTGGCGGGCGCCTGTAGTCCCAGCTACTCGGGAGGCTGTGAGGCAGGAGAATGGTGTGAACCTGGGAGGCGGAGCTTGCAGTGAGCCGAGATCGCGCCACTGCACTCCAGCCTGGGCGACAGAGCGAGACTCCGTCTCAAAAAAAAAAAAAAAAAAACCTACCTTGTAGAATATTCTTCTTGGATTGACCAAAAAAATCTGTGCTAACTCCTTGTTTAGGCTGGTGTGGACTCTGCCAGTGTCAGCTTGGGGCTGCCAGTCACAAGGGCCACGGGGTCTGGGTCCTACTGGTTCCACGCCCTGGTGGTTCCCTGCCGTCATGGTTCCACGCCCTGGTGGTTCCCTGCCGTCATGGTTCCACGCCCTGGTGGTTCCCTGCCCTCATGGTTTCATGCCCTGGTGGTTCCCTGCCCTCATGGTTCCACGCCCTAGTGGTTCCGTGCCCTCATGGTTCTATGTCCTTACCATTCCAATTCAGCAGCTGTGTCATAGGGGAAATCCATCCAGGCCAACTACTGATCTGTGAATTTGTCATATATGATCCCTTAGTGCTCTATTTTTTTCCATTTACTCAACCCTAATTGACAAAGTCTTTCAGAGAAACTTTATTAAATATTGCCATTTCAGAAGTAAGAGTTTTCATTTTAAAGGAGTGGTTATGATGTCACTTGGGGATTTTGAAAAACAACTTTGTTTCAAAATCGACGGAGTTGGCCTTACCTCTTGAAGTCTGAGTGTTATCTCAGTAAAATGAGTATTCCCAGACGGCGCTTTCAGAGGCGAACAAGCTGGTCAACCCATACACAGGTGACCAAAACAGCAATAGCTCTCTCTAGCCAAACATCACGTGAGGCTTCTCTTACTAAAGCAACATCCAAAGCCCGCTTTGGCTCCTGCGGGTAAAAATCAATTACAACATCAGCATGAAGAGTGGGGTTTCATGATTAATGGAGTCATTCTATACAGAGTATTTAGTGGCATAGCTAAAGTCCTTCATGAGCTGTGAAGCTAGACAAACAAAAGGAGCTTTGGTTTGTGAGTTTCGTTCTCAGTGGGAAAAAAATCATTCAAAATAATATTTCGTGTTTATCTCTTCTTCTGAAAGTTACATGCCAGGTACTGGAGGCGGAGGTGAGAGTCGGGAGAACCGGGCAGAGGCTGGGTTGGAAGCTTTCCCATCGCCCATTGGAAGCAATGTCCTCATCACGCTTCACTCCTGGGACATGGGAGGGCGTGCTGCGAGGACACAGGTTTTGTTGTGATGACTGATACTGTTTACATATCTATCCACACTCAGCACTCACCACCACCCCCTGGTCCTGCAGGTAATTAGAGAAGAGCCTCGCTTCCCTGGGGCTGTCACTTGTGTGTCTTGGCACGATTTATGTTGTTTGGTTTTCATTAAAGGAACCCGCAGATAGTTGCTTTCAAAAACCCAGCCTGCCCTAAGGACAGACATGGTAAGTCTTGGCCAAATTTATGGGAGTTTCATGAACATGCATAACACAATCAGCTGGGTCTGAACGAGTTAAGTCTCTTTGTTACCACAAAGGGCACAGGACTCACTCATTCCTTCCTGAGTTCAGCAAACGTACTTGGGTCCTCCTGTGTCCTGGGCACTGCATGAGGACCCGAAAACATAAGAGGAGGAGGACACAGTCTCCCGTTTGTTGCTTCCACTGCCTTCCTCCATCTCCTTTTATGTTAAAAGTATAGTAGAGGCTGGAGAACCCACAAATGAAGAGGATCTTCTTCACAAATTTTCTTCTTCACATTTGTGAAGAAGATCCACATTCTTCCCAGTTCTGGTGTTCCCAAAGCGACTTGGTTCCCATTCTTCCCATCTCTTCTCAGCCATCCCCGAGGTTGCTGGACAAGCAGTGGACAGGCTGGTGTCCAGGGACAGTCAGATCAAAAAGTCGCCCAGGTAAGCATATGGAGTAGATTCTGATTCTGGTCCTGGAGGAATTCCACCTCCTTCAGGTAGCCCTCAGGGACCGATAAAACAAACTAGAACCCCATCTCTATGCCATCATGCTATTCCAACAATCCTGAGTTAAGCGACTTTAGGGAACAGTGTGTGACGGTCACTTACACAGGCCCTGGCTCAGACAGAGGGTTATGCAAGTTGTCACTGCAGGTGGGGCTGTAAACTTGCTATTTATTTTCCCCACTTTTACTAATTTTTGGAAACATGTGAATTCCTCAAACAGTATGCATGTAACCACAGGGTTTGGTTTTAGAAACAAATTGCAGAGGACTATTAAAATAGAAAAGAACTTCACCTTTGGAATGTGAGAACAAAGACCTCTGAAAAAACTGTATTAAAAGAGTGACAACCCGCATGTTCTCGCTTGTAAGTGGGAGCTGAACAATTAGAACACAGGGACATGGGGAGGGGAACAACACACACTGGGGCCTGTCAGGGTGGGGAGTGAGGGAAGGGAGAACAGCAAGATAAATAGCTAATGAATGCTGGGCTTACTACCTAAGTGACGAGTTGACAGGTGCAGCAAACCACCATGGCACATGTTTACCTATGGGACAAACCTGCACATCCTGCACAGGGATCCTGACACTTAAAAATAAAAATGAATGGCCAGGCGCGGTGGCTCAAGCCTGTAATCCCAGCACTTTGGGAGGCCGAGACGGGTGGATCACGAGTTCAAGAGATCGAAACCATCCTGGCTAACACGGTGAAACCTCGTCTCTACTAAAAAATACAAAAACCTAGCCGGGCGAGGTGGCGGGCGCCTGTAGTTCCAGCTACTCGGGAGGCTGAGGCAGGAGAATGGTGTAAACCCAGGAGGCGGAGCTTGCAGTGAGCTGAGATCGGGCCACTGTACCCCAGCCTGGGCGACAGAGCCAGACTCCATCTAAAAAATAAAATAAAATAAAGTAAAAATTAGTTAAGAAAATAAAAAAATTAAAAATTGAAGAGTAGCGACACAGAAAGGATTCTTTAAGATAACCAAGAAAATTGCAATGCAATGTGCTGTGTGGATGAAGTTGAATCTGCCACATTTGCCAATGGTGAAATTGGGCTTATCAATTGGCTCATTTGATAACCATTCTTCCAGCCCCTCCGGTATGTAGGGGCCTGTGAGGGGCACCAGGCATTCACCTGTGTGTCAAAAGCTTTCTCACACACGTTCTCAATCCTCCTTTTACCATAATGTCAAACGGTAGAGCAAGGCTAAAAACAAAAAAGGCAGACCAGCAAGGAGCCAGGGTAACCCAAGTTAACGGAACAAGTACACCATGCAGTTTAGGAAGGGCTTATAGGACCATCTCCATGAATTTGCAGAGCACCCCTGGAGACAGGTACTTGTATGGGGTCCAAGTTCTAGCAGAGAGAATCAAGTTTCTGAGAAGCCGAGTCACTTGTGCAGAGCAAGAATTTTAATCTAGATATATCTGGTTCCCAAACCCTGTCACCATCTCTGCACCAGAATGTGCTAGAGAGAGAAGCAGGCTGCAGTCAGCAGACAGAGGAGCTGGCTTCCTGGGGCCAGCAGTCCTTGCTTCCAGAACCAGTCGGTACACTGGGAAGTCCATTCCAAGGAAGTCCAGAATGAGAGTCTGGGCTTAGCGAGATCCTGGCAGTGCAGATCCAAGATGGCAGGATCCACTGAGGATGTGTCCCGAGGTCCACCCTGCAGCCGGGGACATCTGAGAAACAGCTCCCAAAATGGAATGACACACACTTCACTGGGAGCTCAAAGCCAGGACGGACCCCAGTGGTCCTTATCTTCTCAGGCGGGGCAGTTTCTTGGAACTGAATTAAAATCGAAATGGGTTCACTCTGTCTGTATGTTTCCTAATTAAGGGAGGTGTTAACAAAAACAGCCGTCATTTCCCTGCATCCATTCAATTGCTTATTAGATGAAAAAGCCTCATTAATCCTACTATGTTGAAGACATAGGCCCTGTGCTAAAACCTGGAGATACAGGGGGACTGAGGGTACCTCCCCAAGGAAGACTTTTCTTGGAATATAATGGAATGAGACACTAACCATAGAGAACCTAACAAAACACTGCCGAGTATGCAAATATATGGGCATTTGCTGGATCAAGTAACCAAAAGTAGGTGCTAAATAAAACAGAAGAGCTTATTACAGAAATGACCGTCTTTTAAAGCAAAGCAGTGCTTTGAGATTACAACTACAGCAGGAAGCTCGGCCTCCCCAGTAAAGGATCTTCACAAAGTCCCTCTGGCCTCCCCTAAAAGCAGTACCTTGTTTCAGATATTTCAGGACTTAACACCAAAAACGAGCCACATGGTTTGGTTTTTCCAGCCTTTCTAGACGACTCTATCTTTATCCCAGGGATCCAGCTTCTAAGAATAATTTTCTACCCATAAGGCAATCCATACTATTTTTATGCACTGTCAGGAAAAAAGAATGAATTGCCAGTTTAACAACCTTACAGTAATCTTTTAAGACCAAGTCTAGCTATCAGAAGGAAAGGAGGGGAAAAGTGAGTCTCAAAGTTGAAAAGCTGGTGTAATTTGCTCGATCTTAAACCTACCTTCTCATCTTTCCTTCATTTTGAGCGGAACACCAAAGGTTCTATTTCCTACTTTCAGATATCGCTCTTGGCATGCAATCTTATTTGGCCTTTGGATGACTTTTGGCTTTGGAGGATTCTGTAAAATAAATAGATATTTCATCAGGTGTATCTGCTCTTGAAACCAACAACTCAAGGACTGATGCCCAAACCTGTAACTTGAAAAAGGGGGAAGAAAGAAGAAAATTATTTAGTAAATTGGATTTGGATTTCTGGCAGGGCTATGTTTTACTCTTGGCAGCTGGGCTGACTGTCTCAGAATATCCACTGGTTTCCTGACGTGGAGTCTGCATAGACCACTTTCTTTATCTGGAGTCAGCCCGGATGGGGGCAGTGACTTCAGAACCAGCCAGTCTGAGGTTCACATAAGAGACTCCCAATCAGCTGTGTCCAGTGGACCAGTCTGGTGGCATTCCTGGAGCTTCAAAATACCCGGAGCTCAAGCCAAGACTGCCAGGAGCGCCTGCTTTTGTACCAAGAACATAGTCACCTTTTCTTTTTTTTTCTTTCCACTTTGTGGGTCTGATACTACTTTATAAGTAAAAGCCCATAGAGATAATCCTTTCTCTTTCACAGAAAAAAAAAGAAAAAGAAAAGGAAAATCCATACACTATTTACTAGCTCAGTTTTCAGGGCACTGAGCAGGAAACCATTTGACATCGTGGGAGGACTGAATCCAAGGATGTCTCCTGATGAGTGTTGGTGGACTCTAGCTCTCTCTCTGTAATAATTTCGGAATGTATATATCGACGATGGAGTGTGAGACAATTGTTTAATCAGTTTAAATCAATCATGTTTCACAGTGTTTGTTATCACTGCATTAACTCTAAAGGCAGCACAAGGCAATGTAAAGAGCTTAGGGCTTAGAGTTAGAAGCTCTGACTTTTGCTCATTCATTCATTGATTCATTCAACAACTATGCATTGAGTACTTGGCAAAGAGCCGGTGCGCTGCTGAAAACTGGGTGTAGAGGGACAATCTGGTTCCCAGTTCAGGCTCACTCTGGTTGGAGAGAGGTGTGGTAAAAGAAGGCAAGTCAAAGTGCTACACAGCCCAGAGAGACAAATAACTTCTAAGCATCTGCTGGTAAGAATTACCCTACCTTGAGTGCACAAGGTTACCAGGCACTGTGCCATATGCTTTACACACGCTATCTGATTTAATCCTCAAAAAGCCATCCCATGAAGAGGATACCTGACTATCCCTAAATTATTTCAGATATGGAAACCAAAGCTCTGACGTGTGAAATAACTTTTCCAAACTCACACGGGCGGGAGCCAGAACTAAAACCCAGGTTGACTTGAACCCAGAGCTTGAGCTCTTCACCATTTATTTGCACATTATTTGTTTCACTTAAGACCTCCAAGACCGGAGCTTTCTCTCTGCCTCCTGCAGGTACCTTGGTAGTGGAGTGGACAGGTAAAAAATAATGCACATATGCAAAGCATCCTTAGGAAATTCCTGAGTCTCCCATACAAGGAAATGCTCAGTGAACTAAGAAAGATTTTGAGACCTTTTGACAACCTTGCAACTTAACTTGAAGATGAGACATGATTACTTTAAAGGTAACTTACTCAACTGATTTTCAGATTCTTTTCTGTAGCCAAACTTAACCACCGCAAGATTCCTAAGACCTTAGGATGCCAACCTGGCTCACCTCCTGGGCATTTACGGCAAGGTTTACCTCTCCAGGGTGCTTGTTAGAAACCGTCTCTCGAAGATGCTGTTGACAGTCACTCATTGCAATCAGGCTCCACAAGTGTTGGACACCTCCATTTTTTGCAGGTCCCTCTGTCCTACGTAATGGCTTCGTCGCATGAGGTTGGAGGCAGCCGAGCTCCACAGTTCACATGGAATTTCCTCCTGCTCTGGCTCGCCTTTGTGGAGCCAGTTGTACAGGCCTAATTGCCTCTCCATTACAAAAAGGTACCTTGTGGATCAGCTGTAATCCATGACCTCAGGCTCTTCCTAAAGTGGTTTTAAATTGGTTCACACACATCTCATATGTCTCCTATGAGTTAATTTTTCCGTGTTATGTTGAACACGTTTCTTGGGATGGGTGGACATGCACTATAATCATTTGCCTGGATACCACCCAAGCCAGGGATAAATACACATTCACAGAAGAAACCATTTCCTCCGCTCTACCCCTGCCACAAAAAGGACTCACTTATTTAACAGTGCAGGTAAGGTGCCTCTGGAGCAAATGTTTTCTGTTACACTCAATGCAAGCCACTGTTGTCATGCGACTTTCCCTACAGCCATCTTTCACAACCTTTGAAAGGCAGGCTCCATCAGGGCCTCTCTTGAGATCGTGTTTCCCAAGATGTTCACCCACAGGGTAAGCCTAAGATGGATTTGCACCATTACTGACCTCTCTATTTGGTTTGCCTCTGGGAAGCTCAGACTTAAAAAGAAAAACCAAACTCAACTCTGAGACTTTGTGGAACCTGAGTCCTCATTCTAACCTGAATGATAATCAGAGTCGCCTGGAAAATTTTAAAAAGTGTGCATTGTGGGACCCACCCCGAAGCTCCTACACCAAACTCTCCACGGGTAGACCCTGAGGAATCTCTTTTGTTTCAAAACCTTCCCAGTTGGGTCTCCTTGCTGCCTTGGAAACCCTGCCATTTTCAATATTAGCACAACAGAACGAGCTCTGTGGGCCAGTTGGAATGTTCTACAAGGAAAGGGCTCCATGGTCAAGGAAGCTAAAAGGCTTTATTCCAGGACTCCTCAGAGGTTGAGATGTGCCCACGGTGCATTGGGAATTTCCCACAATGCAATGCAGCATTTCTTACACGTATTTGTCTACAAAGCACTCTTTCTCAGGGAGTGCTGCTAGAAGTTTAACTCAGCCGAAACCCCTTACCCCAAGAACAATCCTAACACTATCACCAGCAGACTGCAAGCAAGTCACCTGCCCCTGCCGCATCTGTTTTTTCTCTGTAAAATAATGTTGACCTGGCTAGGTGTGTTATGCCTGCGCACAGCAAGCCAATCACTCTGGTGATAGGTTTTGCAAAAGAGAAAAGATTTTATTCACAAGGCTACCGTGCAAGGAGATGGGAGAACAAATCTCAAATCTGCCTCCAGGAAAATAGAGTTTAGGGATATTTATGGGATAGAAAGCAGGTGGTCTAAAGTGTGGGGAAAGGTGGCTGGCAGGTAGGAAAGGCGAGGCAATTGGGGCATCTGCACAAGTGGAAATGAGCCACGTGGTTCTTCATACCAGATGTGCAGAAAATGGCCACGGGCACATGATCTGAGGGTGGAGTTCTTGGCCCTCTGATATCAAAAGGTCACTCTTCCAGCATCCTAGCAGGCCCAGCCGAAGGGCTGGTGGATTCAACTGGCTTGAACTGGACAAGAGCTGCCCCCTAGTTCCTAAAAAGCAACTTTAAACACCTGTTACTGGTCCGAGTGTGGTGGCTGATGCCTGTAATCCCAGCACTTTGGGAGGCCAAGGTGGGTGGATCACCTGAGGTCAGGAGTTCAAGACCAGCCTGGTCAACATGGCAGAACCCCGTCTCTATTAAAAATACAAAAATTAGCTGGGCGTGGTGGCACGCACCTGTAATCCCAGCTACTCAGGAGGGCTGAGGCAGGAGAATCACTTGAACCCGGGAGACGGAGGTTGCAGTGAGCCGAGATCACGTCACAGATGCTATGCCACTCTCAGCATCAGAGCCAGGACATCAGGACACAGCAGCACTCCACACATCACTGGCAAAAGTGCAGCAGTTAGCCTTGCAACTCAACAGTGTGTTACCTCCAAAAAGTTGAGTGTCGACTGCTTGACACACGTGTGTGCACATGCACATGCAAACACACACACTAAAAACATACTGAGCACACACACATACATATACACACCACACACACAATTCACAGACTCCTACACAACACCCTGCACACACATACACACCACACACAATACACACACCCGCCACACCACACTGCACATACACATACATATACACAGACAACACAATACACACACTCACACACAACACACTGCACACATACATACACAACACACACAACACAAAACATACACCCACCACAACACACTGCACACACACATACATATGCACACTGCACACACAATACACACACACAACACACTACACACACACATCACACACACAATGCACACACCCAACACACACTACATACACGCACATCACACTACACACACACATCACACACACAATGCACACACCCAACACACACTACATACACGCACATATTCATATATACACAATACACACACCCACACGTAATATACTGCACACACACATACACACCACACACACAAAATACATACACTCACAATACACTGCACGCACACACACACATATACATGCCACACACAATACACACACCCACACACAACACACTTTACACACACCCCACACACACACACTCCATACACACATATATACACATATGCATGTATACATACATCACACACACACACGCACTCCATACACACATATATACACATATGCACGTATACATACACCCCACACACAGCACAACACACACACACACTATAGACACACACCCCATTCACACACCTAAACACACACTACACACACAACACAACATATACACACTATCAACACACACCCCATACACACACATATGCATACACCCCACACACAACATACCACATACACATAACACAACACACACACGCACATGTACACACTCCACATGCAACATAACATACAATACACCACGCACACAGATACACAACCATAAGATCACCCAATATGTCACGCTGTCCTCTCCGGAGCCTGGGTCATTTTTGCCATTGCGTAGTTGCTATTACTAAAGGAAGTGCTTCCTTATCCTTTCTCGCTTTCTCCACTGTGGGTCAGAAACATGATCTTTATGTTTAAGGATGTCACGTGTGCACTACTGGCCACACTCCGGGGTGTTGACTGAAGCTTAACAGCTCGCTTCACAAAGTCGACGAAGCATGAGAGGAGTGTTGACCTTGTGCCGGCGGGCAGGGCAGGGGCACACGGAAGCCATCAGCGCTGCACTTTCCGGAGAACTACTCCAGCCTCGTGTGGTGACTTGGATGGACAAGACGAGGTCGGAGACAAACTGACGAGGAGACATGAGAGGGACGGGATGAAGGCGGCAGCCCCGGTGGTCGATGACAAGGAGAACTGGCCTGCGTGGAGAAGGTGAACCCATGAGGAAATGGCTCCAGCTTCCTGGTAAACACAGACCGACTGCATTGCTTAGCTCCCATCCCCCCTCAGTCGGGGTCTACTCAGGAGACCCCCATTTGAGCAACAAAAGTTTCACACTCAGAATATGACCCTTAACAGCAAATAACCGGCTTCCCTTTCCAAAACCTCACGATCGCAGCAGCAGAGAAAATAACAATCAGCAACTAGAAATACACGTGCAGAGATGTGCGTGTATATTTGCCTTGTCCTCTCACCTTTTGCTTTCCGTCATCTTCCAAAACCATAATGAAATCAGAAGGCCAGAGAGGGAGAAACCAACAAGAAACAAACCTATTTGTGCCACGAAACCCAAGATGTAAACACCTACCAACACCCCACTGGGTGAGATTAAAAGCGTTGTGATCTCAAAAACCCTGGTCGGATACGAGACCCTATATCCCATCCTCACTTCAAACAGTCAGAAGCTCGGCCCACCTGCCTGGACAGAAGACCTAAGTTCAGCCCATGAGGAAAGCAGACTGGAGGCTCTGGGCTTCGGGACACCAGGCACAGGCGATGGAGGGCACACAGCAAAGCCTAAACATCGGGGAACTACATGAGGGTTACACACTGGATGCTGCAGCTCCTCCAGGCCCCTTCTCAGAATGCCGCGAGTCAGGGTGACACTTCCAGGGACATTGAACGATTTTTCTCGGCAAAAATAGACCAACCTGAGAAGAAGGGCCCTCAGCCACTAACATCCAGGGAGACCCCAGGGGAACATCTGGAGACCTCAGTGAAATTCACTGGTCACCAAGCTCAGCACAGAGCTTCCAGCCGGGCTTCTACTCCTCATTGTAAAATGTGACTCCATCGCCAAAGATCAGTAGCTACTTGAGAAAAGCCCTAATGTGAAATGCAGAGACCTGAAGGAGGAAACAGGAAGAGAGAGGAAGAGGGAGAGCCGGGGTGGCCCCGTGTGAAGGAAGGCCCTGCATGGGAGGAGGCAGGCTGGCAGTGCACACACCTGTGTGTAGGGCTGACAGTGCACACACCTGTGTATGAGTCTGACAATGTGCACACCTGTGTGTAGGGCTGACAGTGCCCACACTTGTATGTAGGGCTGACAATGTGCACTCCTATGTGTAGGGCTGACAGCGCACACATCTACTTGTAGTGGTGACAGTGTGCACACCTATGTGTAGGGGTGACAGCATGCACACCTGTGTATAAGGCTGACAGTGCGCATACTTGTGTGTAGAGCTGACAGTGCACACACCTGTGTGTAAGGCTGACAACATGCACACCTGTGTGTAGGACTGACAATGCACACACCTATGTGTAGGGTTGACAATGCACACACCTGTGTGTAGGGTTGACAATGCACACACCTATGTGTAGGGTTGATAGTGCGCACACCTATGCGTCCACCTGGTAATGGACAGAAACGTCCCTGAAGTGGGTTGAATAGTGTCCCCCAAAACAATATGTCCCCTGGAACCTGTGGATGGGGCCTTCACTGGAAAGAGTCCTTGCAGATGTAATTAACTTAAGTATCTCGAGATGAGACCATCCTGGAATTAGGATGGGCCCTAAATCCAATGACAAGTGATCTTAGACGAGAAGGGGAGGTGAAATGAGACAGGCGGAGGCCGAGTGAAGACAGAGGCAGAGATGGGAGGGATGCATCT